CTCCAAATTAAAAACCAAAATAGATCCTTTAATAACTTAATAATTATGTAATGATTCGTAATTGCTTTTATAGTATGAGTGAAGTAAACGTAGTACAAAATCTACCAATCATTTATGCATTATCTATCGATTTCGGATAATATTTGATTTAAATATGTGACTATTATTCAGATTTATGTATTTATTAGTAAAATTTTAAATTAAGAAGAAATAAATCGTTGACTTTTGCAAGTAATGATTGTAAGTAGTTTTGTAACTAAGCAGGTTTCCATGATAGGCTCTAATATTTTTATCACACAATAAGAAAAATCAAAATTTTATATTAGTCACTCTAAAAATACAACTTACACATTTTCTGCGTTTCTTTAAAGAGTAAAATTAGTGTAAGAAAAATGCAATTAATGAATCATGCAAAACTTTCTTTTTAAAATAAGTACACTTTAAAAAACTCCGGATCAAATTACTACATGAAATAGCAACACTTAGGGTACATCATTCGTCAAATCTATTTTATCGTAAAATATTGTACTGTAATTTTTACGGTAATATTTATTTAATCACAGTGATTCAATGATTTTACAGTACTTATTACTGTAAAAACTACAATACATCAAATTTTTTGTTTTGAAACTTATTCCGGTACTTTTTACCGTAGTTTTTAAGAGTGTAAAAAAGGTAGAAATGATAACCCCATTAATTTGTAACCGATTAAATTGTAACCGATTAACAAAAAAAAAACAAACAAAAAAATAGCAGCATGTGTATTTGCATAAGCTTTGCTTTATTAATATGAGCATTAGTAAAAATATATATTATATAAAAAATATATAAGAATTATTTTCATACCCTCAAATTATATCTTTCATTTTAATTATATCCCTTTTTTTTTTAACATTTTACAGTTACTCTTAACTATAACTATATGCAGTAATGCTATAGTAATTTTAGATTTAATGTTTTTAAGTTATGATGTTAAAAAAAAGATATGTTGCAAATATCTCGTTACATACCGGGTTTTGTGAACAAATTTGAACAATTTAATTTATATACATAAGAACTCGTTTGAATCTTAGAATGTTTTTTCAGTAAAACTAATCAAGATCACAGTATGAGAATACGGGATCAAGAAAAATTTAGGGTACACGTAGGAAAAAATGACTTAAAAATGCTCTTAAGGTCATTTTACGACATTTACTTCCTTTAAGATCGTAGGTGGGCAAGCTAACTGTAACTGGGAGACATTCATTCTAATAAATAGAACTCTCTTGGAGGAAATTCTGAGTTACCTTTTTCTGTTTTTGCTAATTACCACCAGAATGTTTCTAAAAATTACGAACATCCTAAAATAAATTGTCTGAATATATTTTATTTTAAATGAAATAAGAATATGTTTTAACATTTCCGAACATTTGAAAATAAAGTCATATTTTTAAAGCTAAAAAATTAGCTAAAAGTTACCAATGGCATGAATTTCTTGGTACTTCTATATATTTTAATTTACTAAATTACTCATTACTAATAGATAGCAAATTCTGAGATAGACGTTCAAAAGGTATAAAACATACGAATTAATTTTATATCTTTAGAAATAAGTTTGCAGGCAATTAGCTATCACAATTGTATTTAAACATAAATGAAAATAATTGCAAAAAATTTAAGCGCTTGCTCATAATAGCTAAATTTTAAAATATAATTACAAATTTTAAATTAAAAATTAAAATTAATTTTAAACACTAAAAATCAAAAAAATAACTAATTTAAAAAAGAAAATCATGATTATTCCAGATATTTTTTTTTAATTTATAAAAATTGCTAACGCTTTTTCCTTGATTAAACCTAAATTTACTTGAAAAGTTTGACCAGAACAACTTAAGATATTTCAATGTAGAAACCTAATAATTTCCATGGAAATTTATATATTACTAGCTATAATGTAACAGAATTGCAAAAACCTTTTTATGCTAAGTTTAATAACTGATTCAATGGAGCTTTTATTAAAAACTTATCTAATTAACGATGTTTTCTTTTCTTTTTCTTTGCCTCCTAGAAAAGGACTTAGGAGACAAAGTGCTCCATTAAATATATAAGATTTGAAGAAAAAAGAAGTAGAAGAAAAAAGAAGCAGGAGAAAAAAGATGATAAAAATGAATTTAGTATCTTTTTTTTATTTAGTTACAAGACAATAGAAAGCACTAAAAGCTTCAGCAATGGATAGGCCATGACAGCATAAAAGCCTTAAATAGAGCTTCTTTTCCCTTTTTTTCCTTTATTTTAGTTTTTAAGAGCTTAATAAGTCATTCCTGTTATGAGTCAGCATTTGACATTGTGACTAACTGAGAAAAAGGAGTATAATTTTTCTTATGCTTTCGAATATTCCAGTTATTGTACAACGTATGAATAAAATTAAGATTTTATATCAGTTAGAATATAATGCAAAGTAAACTCAGCATATATTTTATTCAGTAACAATTAAGAATGATTCTCATACAGCAAAAAACCATTTTATATAATGTACACTTTTTAAAAAAAAAAGATTTTGAGAACTAGTATTGTAGTTTTTATTTCACTGAATGACATCTAGTACATAAAATTTGAACTATATAATGTAATTTATGTCTTATTTAAAAAAATAAAGCAGTAAAATAAATTTATATGTATATTCTAATAAAAACTGAACTTTAAAATGCAATATAAACTTATGGGAAATGTTTTTTAGAAATAAATTGTTTTAGGAAATTATTAAAATTGATTATGTAGACCAATTTATTACAGTTCTGCGCTTCTGGTGACACAAGAAGAAATATTAAATTGTTTAACTATTTGTTGATTAATTTTTTTATTTCATTCTCAAATGTTTTAGTAAATATATTATTTCAAAAATATTTTAGAATCTGACATAATTCTAAATTTTAATAAATTTTATTTGGATGAAAGCATTATTTAAGCAGCAATATGTGAATGGATAATTTTTATTTTTTACAAAAAGTATCACAAAAATTGACTGTTCAAAAAATTTTCAATTTTAGGCTATCGATAATCTACTACTGAAATAATGCATTAATAATTATTATTCTGATACAAAATATTCACAAATTAAATATTTTGATAATTAATTATTACTTGAAAATTGATTATTAAATTTGATAGATAAATATTTATAATTAGTTGGCAAATAATTTGAGAATTAATTAGTTTTCTGATTCTAAATTTGAAAACAGGATGAACATAATCTCTCATAGACTCTAATCTCTTATTTAAAAAGTTTAAGAGCAAATGTAACAGAAAATCATGCTAATAGATAAGCTAATTTTGATCATTGTTGTATACATGTTATAGTTTTATCCTTATTGTATTCAAATTTTGAATTATAAATTTTTTTATTGACATTACCTGCTTCAAGTTTTTTTAAAATTTCATTTGAGTTTTAAACTTATATTTTTTTATTAATAAAAATAGCTGACAAATTCTTTTTTATTTATAAAAATAAATAAATCTATAAATAAATAGTTTCTTTGCCAATAACAATACCATAAAAATAATTTCAAGGTTTGTTTTGAATTTGTAACATCTTTAAAGATTTATCTTTCTCGAAATCAACTGGATAATTATTTTGCATTTTATATTTTTGAATAATTTCCAAATAATGGACCTTTCCCTGGTAAGTTGATACTGAAAATTTCAATCTAGTTGGAATCTTTCCGGCCAGTTAGATTTAAGGTGAAGCCTATTTTCAAAAATTTTCCAAATAATGAATCTCTCTTTGATGAGTTGAGGCTGAAAATTTCAATCTAACCGGTCACTTTACGGCCAGTTAGATTTAAGATGAAGCCTATTTTCAAAATATTTCCAAATAATGAATCTCTCTCTGATGAGTCGAGGCTGAATATTTTAATCTCTCTGGTCACTTTACGGCCAGCTAGATTTAAGATAAAGTCCCTTTTCGAAAAATTTCCAAATAATAGATCTTTCTCTACTGAGTCACTGCTGAAAATTTTTTCCCCAACAGGTCACGTGACACGCCAGGTCACGTCAGTGACAAGATCTTTATCTTCCATGCTTATATCTAATCATTTATGAGTAACAACAATCATATGTTGAGTTAATCAACTTATAATACTGAATTTAACATTATGACATAATAAAAGATGTAAATTCTAAACTCAGGATTTTTCTGTCTTAAAATAAACAGTAAATTCTAAACTCAGGATTTTTCTGTCTTAAAATAAACACTATTTGTCTTGAAACAGTAAACGTTTTATTCCTAGTTTTTTATTTTATAGACGTCGTTGAATAGTTGACCCAATTTTGAGTTTATGATTACCAATGTTCAACTCCGTATTTTTGAACTCAATCCAGAAGACAAGGGAGCTATTGGACCAATTATTGGGAGAAATTCTTCTTTGTGAGGAACTTCTTGATGGAACTAACCCACGTTTGAGTTACATGGTTAGGAACACCATGAAATCCTTCCATGGTTAGCCTGACGGCAAGAGAACTTTACTCCATGATCCGTCAACCACTGATGATATCTAACGTCAGCACTGCGGTCAGCATCTGGGTCTCCTCATTGGAAGGCGAACGCTGTAGCTCTTGAGCCACCACTGCTCAAACTTATGCCTTTCTTTCTCAATTGAATTATTCATCATATCACAATAAAAAGTATATCCTTTAAGTCAAACATTTTTCCATCGGCAACAATTATCGTCCTAATTTGTTAAACATACAAATTTTTTTAAAAATATAATAAACCTTATGTAACATAAGCTTCATAAGTCTGGAAACAGTACATAATCTGCAATAACCTCTTAAGGGTAAACAATTTTTCATTGGCAACAATAATCGCCCTACTTCATAATCATTTGAATTTTTAAAATTTCAATAAATCTTTGTAACAAAAACGTTATTGGATATGTTGTAATCTAGAGTCAGCATTTTGATTGCATGAAAACATAGGTATAGGAAGACAAATTAAGAAAAAAATGTTGGAGGAAAAAACTTACGTTTGTCGTCAGTTGGGAGGTGAGAGTTGTAACTTTCTCATGGGCTTGGTCCAATTCCCTCTTCAGTTTCCTAATTTCGTGCGCTTGTTTTTCTTCAGCCTTTAAAGTAAAAAAAAAATATTTTCAGCCATTTTACAATAGTATGCATAAAAACTATTATAAGAATAGCGTATTTTTAAAATTACGGATTCTACAGATCTAATAGTTTTAAGACTATACATTAAAACAGTAATGCAAAGAGTGAGAAATTTACAATTCAAGTTTCAGCCAGCAAAGGTGATTTAAAGATTCATTTTATGAAATAAACCATGAACAAATTCGTTAACAATTAAATAATGCATAAAAGTTTAAACATAATAACGTTACATAAGCTAAATTAAACTCCTTTTTTGTTACTTCATTAAGCTTGAGTAATTTATGCATAAAATTGTTATAAAGTACAATTAAATAGGAACTAATTTGAAAAGTAAGTTTTTTAAAACTTAAATACGTAAATTTTAGGTATATTCGAATTTTGAAATTATTATCTATTGAAGTTTTATATACTAAGAAATAGAAAACATTGAACCATATAAAACTCATTCACGTTTTAAAAAAATTTCCGAACATTTAAATTACATAAAAATTTAGCTCAAACATTGTAAAAAAAAATTAAGTGAAAAATTGATTTAGTAAAATCGGAAAATTGGTTTATTTTGTAAGCAAGCATATTTTTATAACAATAAAAAGGAAAACATTGATTTAAACCATTGAAAAAACTACATATGAATGGAATTTACGTGAATCATAATAATAATATTAATATAGAGAATTAACTAATTTATATTGTAAATAAGTTATCAAAAGTCACAACAGACAAAGTTCTACGCGTACATTTGAAAAAGACTGGCAAGATATTTGATAAGACAAATTAAAAACAAATAAGACAAATAAATATTTATTCCAAAAATAAATTTAAAATCAATCAATACATACATTATATATATATATATATAAATATAATTTTTTTTCTACAAATTAAATACAATTGCTACTTACTGTGGAATAGATGGAGGAACTGGTTGACACCAAAGACAATGCTGAACCATGAACTAAAAAAAAGAAGAAAAAGTAAAGAAATTAAAAAGCATACCAACAACATAAATGATTTAAAAAAAGATACACAAACAAACTGTTAAAAATTGTTACTTTTAATTAAAAAAATTTACTTTTTAAGATTTTATAAATTTTAAGTCATTTTTAATGATCTAGTGTTGCAGCGAACACAAAAATTTATAATTTAAGAAGCATTGTTTCCTAACTATTATTACATGACTAAAGAAAAAAAAAACATTTCAAAGAATCAATCAAAATGCACTCTTATTTTCTAATAGACATTTTGTACTTTTTTGGAGAATGGTTTTGTTAACAGTGACTTTCATTTTATATTGTAAGCATCTTTTGAAAAATCTTTTCAACGTTGAACTACAATATTGGTATATCGAACCATAATGATGTGCAAATTTGTGACAATTTTAATACCATGATAAATTGATCCATGTTTTTGTTAAAACAGAATCATTTTATTGTGTATTTAAGTTCAAGAATAAGGTTAAGAATATAATAAGGTTCAACCTAACAAAGTATTAAGATTTGCAAAGAGTTTGAAATATCATGGTTTAGCACACTAAATGACGAAACATGGGTTAGCAAGCTTTATATTTCTGACAATGCATGCATTACAATAACATTGTGAATGTTTTTAGAAACTCTTTTGCAAAGAAAAAAGCCACATTTTCAGAGCCTTAAAACGAAGAACTATAATTTCAAACAATGTATACTATTTTGCTGTTGCTACTCACTTTAAGTTTATAACTTCCTTTCTATTTGCGTCCATTTTTTTTCATTCAGGTTACAAATTTACAACTACAGCAATTAAAAATAGGCGAAATATTTTTACCCAGATAAAAATCATTAAAAAATAAAGGCATAATTATTAATTATTTGCATATCTTTATGAGCCCAAGCACTGCAACATTGGAGAAACTTTTGAAATATTATTAAATGAATAACAAACGCAATTCATTTTGTTATAAAGTGGTTTTTTCCCGTATTGACATTTTGCACCATTATCAAAACCAGAGAGAAAAACCACGTGTACAAAACTTAAGATAAAAGTCAAGAATAACTGTTACAAGTTCACATCAGTTATCAAAAAAGTTATTATTTATTAAAAGTGTTATTGCATATAATAACAAAGATTTTCAAAAATAGCCTTAAAAAAGAATGATATCGTAAACATATAAAAGAACTATATCAATATTTATATCTGGATTAGATATCAAATGAACAAAACTTACGATAAAAATTAAGAATAACTAACTATCAAAAATTCACATCAGTTATCAAAAAAGATATTATTTATTACAAGCGTTATTTCACATAATATTAGAGATTTAACAAAACAGCCTTAAAAAGAATGATATCGTCAGCATTTAAAAGAACGATATCAATATTAAAAATAACTTACTGTCATCATCTTTGCTATTCATTTTAAGAAGTAGTCCTGACATGTAAGGAGACATGGAACTACGACTATTGCCTGTGTGGTTTGAAAAACTACCAGAATTCGGTACTGAGGATGTAGTACCAGGAGATAGAGGATACATATTGTACCGACTTCCTCCCTGAAAACAAAATGGTGCATTAAATATAATTTTTTAAGAAAGATGAATCAATAATACATATATTTTCTAAGCAAATTCAAGCGAAGAATAATTGAAATTTAAGCACACAAACACAAAATGTTCATAAAATTTCGTTTTGTTGAACTTAAAATTCTTAAAATTTAGTTTTGTTTTGTTATTTTTGGTAATTTAATTTAATTTAAAACTGATATTAGATAGATATTAATGTCTAAATAATCTATTTTTTCTTAGAGGATTCTAAAACCACATTTTGAAGAAAAATTAAATTGAAGAAGAATACACACTTTTAGGGTACAAAATATGTTAATACAATAATCTTAATATCTTTTTTGTTTATTGTTTAAACATGGGGGCATTTTAAGTAAAAATGTATTTATTTAAATTTAAATTTTCATTAAACCAGCTGAAAATATAAAATTTTTTTTAATGCCTACTCGGAAACTGACATTCATTATTCGGAAGTCAGAAGGGCAGATTTATTGACCACTCTTTTAAGGGCACCCTATTAGGTGGGCCAACATTGCTCCCACAGTGCAATAAGGACAGATAGTATAGAGAAGAGAATAAAACAACATTCATGCCTTGTCTGGGATTCGAACCCAGGAACTTTCTAAAGTGAGGTCAGCTCCCTGACCACAATACATGCCTGTCGGTAATTAAAACAATAAAATATGAAAAATAATGCTAATTAATTTAGAATTGAACATTTAATAAGTGTCAAAAATCGTATAAATGTTTCAGGATATAAATATATAGTGAAATTAAATCTTTTATTGAAGTATAAATAAATAAAAAAAGAATTAATATAAATTTCAAAGCCAACTTTTGAACTTTTAAAAATAACTATTATTAGATAAAAATTAGATAAACAAAAATATCTCAACTCTAGGTAGAAAAGAATAATAATTTGTGTACATAAACTGCCTTGTAATTTTTTTTCTGTTTATTACAACAAAAAAGGTAATTAACAAGGCAGGGAAGCATTTTAACTTATTAAAAATTAGCTTACCATTACAATAAAATCCCTTTAGTATCAAAAACTAAACAGGTAGAATAAAAAAAATAGAACCCTTGAAAACAAACAAATGAATATTTTTTACTAAAATATTTTTAAATGCAATCCAACAAATAAATACTGAAAGGGATATTAAATTATAAATAAGATTTACTTTATTTTCTTAACCAATCACATGCGATTTTTTTTCTATTTTCACTTTATAACAAGATGAGTAAAATAGTATAGAAATTTAAAATTAAAAGAAAATTCCATGTGAATTTTTAAAAAAAATCTCTTTACATTCAGGAATCAATATTAATAAATAGTTATGCGAATTACATTTATAAATAGTTTTGTGAAAATCATGTGAAATTAGTTCAGATGTTTATAAACTCATTTCATTGTTTCCGCATAAAATATTCTTGATAGTTACTCCAGTCTTGAAAATTTAAATATAGATGAAAAATTTTTTTTTTGAAATTTACCGAACAATGCTTTCTTTTCTAATCATATTTGGTTCACATTAATAAGAGGTATTATGACATCTTATATGAATATATTTTAGTAAACACAAACTTAATAATTATGAAATAATATTTCTTTTGTTAATGACCAATGATAAAAAATAGAATGATCTTAATTTTAAGTATCAAATCTATTAAAAACTATGATATTAAAGATGCAGGAAGAACTAGTAAATTGTGTTGGAGCTAAGTATATGCATATTTTTTCAAAAATTATTAATCATCACTTAGCTCTTTTCAATACTTTAAATTTTAAATTCAATACATATTGATTTAAAATTCAATATATTTTAATTTAAAATTCAATATAGATTAATTTAATATTCATGAATAAAAATTTATTTAATATTTGCGAATCAATATTAATTATGTTACTTAAAACTTACTTATGTTACTTTTACTGTTAAAAAAAAGTATTTTAATCACTTTAATTTATATCCAAGACAAATAACCTTGAAAAATACAGATTGTTAAACAGAACAATTTAAGAGCACCATGACTGACTAACTTCAATCTATGCAAATGTAACAAGCAGTCATACAAATAAAGTTTCATAAATTATTCATGAGGGGACAGAAAGTGACAGAGAGGAGTTTTCATTACTTGAGAATACTTTCTTCCCTAATTTGACTCTTAATGATGTCACTTGAGCGTTTTCTATTGTTTCACGGATATGCGCCATTTTTTTTTCTTTTTGGAAGACAAAAGTTGTCTTTAAAAAGTATTAGATTGCAATAAGTCGAAAAAAGATATAAATTATATAGGTTGAGGTTTATAATCGGTAAGACAATACATATATAGAATTTTAATGACATGGATAAAAAGAAGAAGGATAATAAAGGAAAAATTTGCATTAGTATGAGCGATTTGTTGGAAGTTTAGAACATTTAATTTGAGTTTGCAATTAATACTGAGATTAGCTAAGAGTAAGTCCTAAAAATTAATTTAAATTTTAGAAATGATAAGAAGCAATTAAGTGATTAGAATAGATAATTGTGCACTGCATAAATTGAAATTAGTCATGTTGGTTTTACTGTTATTTTTGTCAATCTATATTTTTCAAGTTTAATTTTTTGGATATAAGTTAATAAGATTGAAAATAAAAAATAAATATATTTCTTCTCAAATTTATTTCGTGATTAAATTAATATTTATAGCTTTGAAAAATTGAAGAAATTTAACTCTCAGTATAAATTTAAATAAACTTTTAGAGTCTTGTAAAATAAGCCTTTGAGCTTTCTTCAAATAAACCCTTAGAATTTTCCCAGGAAAAAAAATCTTTGAATAACTTTAAAATTTCAATGAATAGTTTGAATTAGCTAAAAAAATATTAATTATTTAATTAATTCAAATAAATTCGTTGCTATAAATGCACGGGTTTAAAAAAAATTATATGAATAACTCGTTCAAAAATTATTAAAATTGAACATTTTATGTTACTCAATTGTTAACAAAACATAGAAGGGAACATTTAGTTTAAAATAATTCCGATATTAAGAGAAAAAAAAATTCGAAACTAAATTAAGGTTACTGGAATAAAAGTTGGATAAAAAAATATATGTATTAAAATTGTAAATAGTTAAAACGCAATAATAAACAAAATTTTAAAATCCCAAATAAACATTCGATGTTACTAGTTCATTAATATTCACGGTTTCATTGTAGTATATTCTTAAATGGAGGAACTTAATTACAATATAGTGTACACTTGAAATTACCATCCACACACACAAATGCCTAAGAAAAAGTAATGGGCATACCTGTGGCGCAGAACTTGGCGAGGTCGGCTGAGAGCCAGTATTGCCAGCAGCAGCGGAGGCTATAGCAGCTGCCATAAATGCATTTCCACTTGGAGTTGCATAGATGTTTTGACCCTCAGGATCATCGGATGATCTTTGTAACATATAGGAGGCTAACTTTTCGGACTTCGTAGACCGGATAGAGTTTGACCTGGACAACCTTGGCGAAGCGGCCAGTTCTCTTTGATGGAGCATGAGCCGGGCGTGCGTTAGGCTATTGGCTCGGGCATGCTGAATCTGTCAGAAAGAAGGATTAAATAAATAAAAATATAAAAAAACTAAGATGTTTTCTTAAAACGTGATAAGTTATTAAGCTATTTGGAGAAGAAAACGAATAAATAAGTTGGTTTGTAACGTTGACAAAAGTTTTTTAGAACAACATAATTACTAAATTATGCTAAGAAATAAACAAAATGTATTTATGATGTAAACAAAAATTATAATTCTTTCACAAAATGATTTAATTTGTTAATTGTGCCCAGAAATAAACAACTTCTCAACTAATTTGATAGATACCACTAATATTAATAATAGTCTGCGATTAAATGACGACTAATTCGATAGAAAAAATTGCAGGATTAACAAATAAATAATTTAAGTTTTTAAAGATAATTTGAGAAGCTGAGGCTTTTTTTAATGAATGACATTATTAGTTTCAAAATTGAGGGGAAACAGACCGTACAAATTTAACATTGGATAAATGTACAATATTTTTTAATTTATTAAGCTATGAGAGCTTTAAGCATAACTTTTAAATTAAAGTAACAAGATAACCAGCACTACAGCTGATTACTTTCAATGAACTCATTCTTTTCTCAGTACTACTCCAAGACATGCACAACGCAATTAACTCTCGCTTGAATTTAATCCTTTATCTAAGCAAAGATTTTTTTTATTTTTTATCTTCTCCTTAATTAAAGTAACTGAATAACTTCCCACTTATTATTTCAGCTTGCAATATTTATATCTACGATGTGCCTTTTTAAAACGATTTACCTAATATGCGGTAATTAAAATTTAGCACTAAAATTTTAATTTTTATACAAATTACTAAAACTACATTTTAGTCTTTTTTTTACAACCAATGCTTGATGCAGAAATGTATAAAAGAGAAATATTTTACGATTATTAGAATAAATTAGTCTCAGCATGATTTAAGATACCTAAGTACAAAAAATAAGTAAATGAAAAATAAATAACTTAAAAATTTATTCTTTTAAATAAATCAAAAATAAAATTTACTATTTACTTAGTGATTCAAACAATTTATTTATTACAATTTAAATAACATTACAAGTAATTAAAGACCAATCACGGGAGGAAAAAATCTGGTAATAATTACCGCACTGAATAGTAAAGACTTTTCTGGTAAATAAAAAGTCATAATTTTGGTAAGGAAACCAAAATGTACCGTATATAAACCATTCATATGGCAACGGTTTCCGTTTATATGGTAACGGTCTACGGAAATTTTGGTTTTAAAAATTATAGTTCATATAACCACACATTTAGTAAAAATACAAAGCTGAATAGTAAGAATGATTTTTATGCCATGCTTCAAAGTATGATTATAAAACGACTAAATTTTGACAAACATTTCTTAATGTTAATTTTACAGATTATTATTTTTAATGTTTAACAAAGTAATTATCAAAGTGCACAGCTTTACTTTAAGTCCTACCTCAACACTTATTTAAATAAAAAATATGGTTAAGCTGAACTTGAAGTTATAACAAATATAATAAATGATTAATAAATGTTTCTCAATTAAAAAGTTGGTATTTTGAAATCAGAAACATAAGAAGAACATACATACAATGTTAAGTTCTCCTTACAAATAATAGAACAAAAAAATTATTCACACTGAAAATTAAAGAAACAATAACGTTACGGTCTTGCTATATTATACTCTAATAAATATTAACACTTTAATTCAATTTCATGAATTCTAAATTAGTGTGCCCCAACCTTTTGCAGGCTGTTGAGCGTTTTTTTGACACTGGATATTTGAAATAACAGACTAACTCAATAATATTGACTGTATCTAAGTAGAGAAATCAATTACAATTATTATTTTTTTCATATCAGAAAATTGAGCTTTTATAGTAGTAGATAATACATTCAGATGATAGAATAGACGAAATGTATAAATACTAACATTAATTTTCAGTGTAACTAAAACTCTGAATTAGTTTCTTTTATTGTCTCTCTAAACAATAAAATTGATTGCTCTAAATATCTCAGTGAGTTTTCAAAATCTTACTCCCCCTTCTTTTTCATAGCATCGTATGTTAAGTAAAAAATTTTTTTTTTGATTCAATGAAAATGCAGCGTATTTCGTTCAAATAAAAAATAGAACTGTATGCCTCTTTAATTTGTAGTTAGGCTTTTTTTAATCTTTTTTTTAAAAGTTTAATGATTAAACGAAATTTGGAACTATTTCTTCTTTTTCAACTTCATCGACTACTGTTTTTGTAAAAAATTTAAATATCTATCATTACATAATTCTACTGCGAAAAGAAATGCAAACCGAAATATAAAACACATTCAAAAAACTTAAACAATCTAGATTTTACAAGGGAAAGTGAAAAATTAAATATGAAGCGAAATAAACGTGGCATTCCCTAATCAAGCAAAATGAACAAGTTCGATTAAAAAATTGTAAATATTTTGATTAGGTTATTGCAACACAATCCTGAAATAAATAACTCCATAATTGTAACAAATCAAGGGTGAAATAAGGCAAAGTTAGTAAAAAAATCTCAAATACTGATGAAGACATACTTGATTTAATTCTTGTTTTCATTCTTACCTGTGCGTGAATGCTGGAAGACGTTGATGACAAGGATTCCATGCTGTCTGCTTCAGTCAAAGTTCCTCCACCCCTGCCTCCTGTAACAGAAGTACCACAGCTGGGGCTGTGCCTCATCCATGAGTATGGGCCATGGTCCAAGGATGCATAGTTATCCATATCCCTAAGGGGGGCAGAGAGCCGGGGCGTTCTGCCCCCCAACATCATATAGTCAGATAAGGGAGTTGGGGACCCATTAAGAATAGATCTACTTCCATATACTCTTTCCTTGAGTCCTGTACCAGGACCAGGAGTGGTCATGAAGTATTGTTTGGGGGGAGGGGGCGGATACTTCCGCCCCAGCGAGCTATACTCGCTGTCGGAATGTACGGCACTATACAGGTCGCTGGTGTTAGTCTGCGTGCTGCCGCAGACTTTGACTTTGCTGCCGCCCTTGCTGCGTGATGTTGGGAGATGGTGATGGTCGCCCGCGCCGGCCGCGGGGCGGCGCTCCAACCCTCCGTAGCACTGCGACATTTCATCGGTAGGGGCGCGCTCTAAATCGCCCGTCTTCTCATCAGCCGCGCCCCTCTTGCCGACCGCTGCCTTACTACTGCCGCTTTGCTTACTGCCTCCGTTTACATTGTATCCATTGCTGCTGGTGGCGCCCTGTGTTTTCTTGCTGTAAGATCCTCCAACCGATGAGGTTGCCGGGGCAACACTATTCGTTGATGAAGACGTCCGAGAACTCTTTCGTCCGGTCATTTCGAGAGATTCGGAACTTCCTGCCTTCGGTAAAGACTGTTTGGAAGATTGGTTCTTTGGACATTCCGGCTCGGGGTGTCGATCTGGGACGACGGCTAACTTGTGTTTGGAGCGGTGGGAATCCGTTCCAGAACTCTTTTTGGAATCAGATGAAGACTTGACGGATTTCTTGCTGCCACTCTTGTCTGACTTGACGGACTGTGCATCTTGTTGCTGCTGTTGGAGAAGATATTTCTTCCAGGAAGAAGAGGAGACGTGATGGAATGCACTGGTCTCTGTTTGCATAGAGCTGTCCGTTTTCTTCACATGGGCTTGTTTTGACTTGGAGCCTCCAGTGCTGACCACGACTTCCTCTACCGCCTACGATTGAGAATAAAATAGTTTGAATAGTTAAGATTGTTAATACACTTAAAAATCGATTGCTAAATATTAAGAATGAATTCTATTTAAAATGAATAAATAAAATTAATAAAGACTATATAATTTTATTTTCAAATAAATATTAATATTCACTAAGAATTTTTAAACAATCATAAAAATAATATTCCTAAACCGAATTGATCTGAAAAGAATTTTAACGTTTTAATTAATACTTCTCTTTTTTTTGTTTGTAATTTAATTGAAATAAACTTTTTCTCAATTTCATTCCTAAAAACGATTTTTTAGCACAAAACGATAATAATACAAAGCACTAGCTGTAAATTAGTTTATTTAAAACCTACATAATAATAAAGCTAATTACAAAATGTTATAAAATTATTTCCGTTCAACATTTTTTACACCTTGACGCAAATGGGGACACCAGCGTCAATTATATGAATTTTTTTTTCTGTTGTTTTAATTAAAAGCAAAAATATATTTAAATATTTTTTAATTATAAATAATGATCTAATAGTTACTAAAACAATCTGTTAGATTATTGGAATCATATTTGTGCTAAAATATAAATCCAAAAAAGTAGTTTGAATTTTTTTTTTCATTCATATTCAAAGCTTTGTCAATGATAAATAAATGTTTATCTTAGATCTAAATAACTGCAAATAAGTGCAATATTGAAAAATTATAGTTTGGAAGATTTCATTTTTAACGCAGAAAGAGACATCGATGTTTCCTGCTGTATTTCATAGCCATAAATTTAAAATGCTAAATATAATATTTTTCACTTATTCCGACCTAAATTAATACAAAACAGTATGAAAAATATGTTTAATAAAAATTCTGCTTCAAATGGTTAAAGCGTAATTTACAAATTGTTCAGCAAGCGAATTTGCTACTGAAATATGCATGAATTTTATACAAAGTACAAGATTTAATCCTTTATCAATTATTAAATGTTATAAGCTCGATCATGTATCCATTCAGACTTTTTGCAGTAGCTCTTGTTACAAGACAACGTAAATACTACATTTAATTATCATTTACGAAAAATAATTAAAATTTTCTTTTTAAATTTTATAATAAAAAAGTGAAGAGATTTTAGAAACTATTTAAAAATGATGTTTTTGGAAATAAAAATTCTTTACGAGCTAATTCGTATTCATTTAAACTGCCTGCTATAACAGTAAAAAGAAAACTCTTTAATAACACAATTATAATATTATAGAGCATAGTTATCGATTCTTAATTTCTTAAAAATTTTATTGTATGAATTGCATTCTGAAAATAGACCAGCTTAGGCATTGATCTTAGTATAATCTGGCAATGACGATGGGAGATCTCAATCAGGTAGTTTTCAATGAGGTCGGGGGCTCATCTTGTACACTGTAAAAAATTCCAGTCCCATTTTACAATAAAACAAAAAACCGTAAATTTTATAATAATATTTATTAGTTAGATAGTTTTCATTCTATTTATATTTTTGAATGAAGACAACTATTTAATTCAAATTATTCTTGAAATTTGAATTAAATCAAGCAAATCAAATCACAACATTTCAGAGATAAATTTTTTTTCTATTAAGTTTTAATACCAGAAAAGAATGTGGGGAGTCGAACAAAATGTAAGAGATTTAATTAAAATGCATTGTATTAAGGGTAGAGGGTTAGTACAATATATTATGTCAAAATTAGCCCTTTAAGTCTCCATAATAATGATTAGATATAATAAAACATTTATAACATATTCCAGTACAATGTAAAAAGTTCCGGACCAAATTACGGTGTTAAGTATCGGTACTTTAGGTACATCATCCATAAAATTCATTTTTACTGTAATTTTTATGCTGATATTACTGATATGATAATTTGTACAGTATTATTTATTCAATTCAAGTGATTCAATGATTTTACGGTAATTATTATTGCAAAAATTACGGTGAGTTAGATTTTTTTGTTCCATAATATGTTCCGGTAAAATTGAATTTTACTGCAAAAAGTATCGATATTTTGAGCGCCGGTGCTTTTCAGCGTAGTTAGTTCCGGAAATTTTTACAATTTAATTCTATTACAGTGCCAAGGTAAATATAAACAAAAAATACTTGAAAAACTATTGCATACAAAGTAAAGTATTTATGAATGAAAGAAAAGGTACCTTGCGGCTTTTTTCGCTGTTGGCCGCCGTACTTGGACCGTTGGAGAGGGACTTAGAGTGAGAAGAAGTCAATTTTTGATTTCTTTTCAGGCTACCGTACACGTTGTTGTCAGAACTCACAGAAGATCCCGTCAAGTTGTCATCTGTACTCAGTTCAGGAAATTCACTCGCGCCACTGCTTACTGAGCTGCTGTCATCAAAGCTGTTAAAGAAACAAAAAATGACACTTTAGATCGAAAACTAAGGTAAAAAACTAGGAAAATTTAAAATTACTTGTTAGTATTTAGGAAATAAAATTAATTAAGTGATGGTTTCACCCAGTGGTCGGAAGACCTACATTTTCTTTGCAGTTAATTACGACTACTTTGTTGCAATTATAGTCAACTACAATTACTTTTTTTTCTTTAATGTAGCGACTGTACTTTTGAAACATAGTTACTACTTCACTATTTTGAGAAGATATATATACTTTACCGGAGAGCATAATTCACACCAATGTTCAAAATGGTTTTGAATAAAATAAAAATGCTTAGTTAAGCATGAGAAGCTATTAAGAAATGTTAATTCATCTTTACATGAGATAGTTAGTTATTCTAAAGGCCATTTTACGAATTTATTCTTTTAACCTTCAAACTCTATGCTTTTCTTGGCAGTGAATACTTAATTTAAGAAATGATAATAAATTATCAAATATTTGAGCTTCAAATGATTAATGCTTTCTTCTATTTTCCGAGAAATAAAATACAGTGAGCAGAATAAAAAAAAAACGTAACACACTGAATAACTTCATATCCTAATGATCGGATCTTCACGTTCTAGGACTCAATCTTAATGGTCCGATTTCCAATGATTCCTTTGTTTACAAGATTTTCAATCATATTGAATGAAATAACTTAACAGGAAAGAAAGGACTGCCGCAACCAGAAGGGGAAGAAAGTATCAGACAAAAAAATTTGTGCGTTTTTTTTTTTTTTTTTTTTCCNTGCAATTATAGTCAACTACAATTACTTTTTTTTCTTTAATGTAGCGACTGTACTTTTGAAACATAGTTACTACTTCACTATTTTGAGAAGATATATATACTTTACCGGAGAGCATAATTCACACCAATGTTCAAAATGGTTTTGAATAAAATAAAAATGCTTAGTTAAGCATGAGAAGCTATTAAGAAATGTTAATTCATCTTTACATGAGATAGTTAGTTATTCTAAAGGCCATTTTACGAATTTATTCTTTTAACCTTCAAACTCTATGCTCTTCTTGACAGTGAATATTTAATTTAAGAAATGATAATAAATTATTAAATATTTGAGCTTCAATGATTAATGCTTTTTTCTATCTTCCGAGAAATAAAATACAGTGCGCAGAATAAAAAAAACGTAACACACTGAATAACTTTATATCCTAATGATCGGATCTTCACTTTCTAGGACTCAATCTTAATGGTCCGATTTCCAATGATTCCTTTGTTTACAAGATTTCTAATGATAATGAATGAAATAACTTAACAGGAAAGAAAGAACTGCCGCCAACCAGAAGGGGAAAAAAACTTGCTGCTCAGGAGCATCAGACGAAAAAAATTGTTGCCAGAAATCGCTACAAACTACTGTTTATTTATTTATATATTTTTTATTTATTTATTTTTTATTAAATTTTTTTTTGTATCGCACTACACGTTACACTATTTTTTTAAGAAGTAGAGCTGTACACTACAAACTACGAAAAAAGTAGCGACTACAGTAGTTTCTCTACTTGTTTCACCATTCTTTTTACGAAAAAAAATATAAAGTCGAATACAACAACCGAGACAAAATATGAGCCAATTTTTATAGGATTTCTTTAAACGCAATCTCTTATGAGGTTAGTAAAATGTTCTGAAAGAATATTTATTTCCAAAATCTTCTTAGTAGTAGTAAACAATAGTAATAAACAGAAAAATTCTCATTAATATAAAAATATTGTTATCCATAATTTAAAATAAACTTATATTGTAAAGTTTTATAATTTTTAGGATTAACTTATATTTTTCAAAATGTATCCATAGAAATCATTTCAAAACGAAATATATAGTTTACACATATCATTTTTCACAAAGGGATTTGGTTAGTTATTAATAAAATTTGAAAAAAAAAATTATTCTAACAAATAGATAAATATTACCCCCCCCCCCAAAAAAAAAATATATAAAGAAATAAATCTGCCATGTCTATTTATATACACAATAAAAAATTTCGGATCAATATAATAAATTACCGTATAGTATAAGTAAAAAATTTCGGTAAAAAGTATCGGCACTCAGGCTGCCGGTATTTTTCACCATAAAATCCATTTTTTCTTGAATATGTTATAGAACAAATAAAATTTGATAAACCGATTTTTTACAGCAAAAACACTGAATTACTCAAATTAAATAAATATTCTTGTACAAATTATGGTAAAAAATACATATTACGCTAAAATGGATTTTACGGATGATGCATCCGAAGTTCCGGTACATTTTACCGTAATTCGATCCGGAATTTTCACAGTGTACCATAGAAAATAAAACTCAGTCAAAAATTTTTTTGTTGACAGGCATACTATTACAATTACTTCTAACTAGCATACTTCCGAATCCATTCACAGGACTTAACTAATTTTAAAACGTAATGCTATTATTAATTTATAAAGTTTATACAGTTATAAACTCTTTTAACAAACATACTTCCGAATTAATTAAAAGAACTAATAAACTAAGATAATATTTATTATATAACATTATTAATTTATACTTAAGTTTATAGAATTATAAGTTCTCCTAATCAACATACATTCGAAATTATTAAAAGACAATATTCTCAAACACGAGCAAAATTCTCATAATTACTGTTTTTAAATTACGTACTCATAGCAAAATTACTTTGAAACGAACAAAACTAAAACCATGAGGACTATTCTTTAATTTCACCCCCAAAAATATTTCAGTTATTAAGTCTGGAAATTTTCCAGTATAATAGGATTTCGGGGAAATAGCGTCCGTGAAAATTCCCCGGAGTTTTCCCAGAGAAAAGCTGCGTTTTCCCACCCTTCATTCTAATTGCCGTAGATTTTAACACTTAATGAGCGAATAATCATGCACAGAGATGTGTGAGCTGCCTCCCCTTATAAACTCAATGCATCATAATCCGAATTTCCTCTGACATGTCACACACTCCTTCTGCTGTGAGGGAAATAAAATTAGATTGTCTAGGAAACTGGTGATTGGAAGCATTTATCTATGTCACTCAGGATTCTAATACGTTAAAAGTATGTTCGAAACTAAAAATTTGTAAGTAAAGAGGAAAATATTACAATATTTTTAATTTTTGAGCCAAACTTATGTATATTAAATGAGCTTGGACGCGAAAGTTTTTAAAAATTTTGAGATTTGTTTTATCATTTAAGAAAATGACTCTATTAACCCTTTGACGAAGAATTTTTATTAAACCTATTTTTAAACACTATTTTTTTCATTATTCTGTATTAATTTACGTCAAAATAAGCGAAAAGTATTATGTTTAGCATTTTAATAATTTATGGTTATGAAATATAGCTTAAAACACCGTTGCCTGTTTCTGCGTTTAAGGGGACATTGAACGTTCAAAATGAGAAACATCCTTTAAAAATCCATAATTTGGTTTCAGAGATATTAAAATAAAATGTAGAATTTACTAAGTAAAGGTCAACAAAGTAAAAATTTAGAATCGAGTTACGCTTTATTCTTAAGCGGTTACCATAACCACTTAAATTTATTTAAAGGACTATAAAAAACGTATTTGGGTAAAAATTTAATTTAAAAAAAATCAAAATTTGTTCTCAAGGAACTTTTTAATTACCAACGATTGATCCATACTTGTACTTATATTCTGTACCTTTAGCTATAACTTTAAAACTAATTATTATTTTTTTCTAAAACTTCGTACAAAGACTAATGCTACCAATATTCTGTTAAAATGTGAAAATGATTGAATAAAACTTGCACTTTTTTGTTATGAACGTCTAGTGCCCCCTTAAAGGTAAAATCTTCCAAATACGGCTCACTTCCGAACAATAATTTTTTGAATTTGCACTGTTTGCAGCTATTTAACATTAAAATTTCTTTAATTTACGAAATTAATTATGAATTTAAAAAAAATTACGCTATTTTTTTTAAATTTTATATTTTGTCACAAATATAATTCCGATAATCAAACAGATATTTCAAATTACCAAAAAACTTTTTTTTTATAAAATATAAAAAACATATAAAATTGACACCAGTGACCCATATGCTTCAATAGCTTAATGTTCTATAAAGTAAAGAAAAAAATCATGTCTGTATCGAAATTGTTTTACTACGTAAAAAATTATGTTTATGTTAAAATTTTTTATTTCTTTTCTATTTAAAAAAATAACCCTATAATTACTCTCTAAAGTAGTAGAAATATCACGTTTGAAACTAAATTTGAGGATTTGTTTTAATTTGAAAAACAATCTTATTAACTTAATGCTCTCTAAAATAGGGAAAAAAAATTTTTTTATCTAAATTTGGGGACTTCCTTGATTATTAAAAAAATTAATTTTTTTTAAATAGAGAAAAAAATAATGAGTGTATTTGAACTAGAAAGGGAGGAGAAAGCTTAGTTTTGTTGAATGATTTTTTTTTCATGACCAATTTTTTTCAATTTAAAACAATATATCTCAAAGACCAAAAAAAGATAACTGCATAAAATTTGAAACAAGATCGAAGTCTTACTTTAATTCGTTTTCAAAAAATGAAAAAATTTTAATAACGCAATTTTTAAATAAAATCCAAGTGCCAAAAAAAAAAAATACTATTATTTATATAATATACAAAAATAGATATGTAAAGTAATATTATATAAAAATAAATAAACAGATTTTCATTCATATCCAAAATTAAAAACATTATTAATAAAACATTAAATTTGAATTTCTTTCTGTATTCTTTACAGACGTTTTAATAACAAAATTTTCATGATTATTAAATTAATTCGATACATTCTTGAATATTCCAGAAAAAGTTATTTTTAAAGAGTAAGCAATATTTAATTTTATGATTAATATTATTTGCTGCAATTTCCTCTAATTTTGTTTTATATCGTGTATTTGTATTAAAAAGAAAAAAGGACTTAAAATAATCAGACAATTTTATTACATCGCAATTAAAAAGAGAGAAAAATA